TGATCAGCCGACTAAGACCGAACCAATTAAATTATCATCCAGCGACAAGATTTGCTAAAAAAAAGACAAAAGGGGTTTCACACTTTAAACGCCCACTTTATATTCGACAAGAGGCCATGAATGGGTTAGGGTTAGGGATAGTCTATAAAAGAACAATGGCTCAACAACTAAAGACGTTCATATTTAGCTTTGAAATGTTTATTCAATCCTGAGGTCGATTCTAACACTAGCCTCCATTGGATTTGTGACTTTGTTTCGATAGATGAATTCTTTGTTAAAGCATAAATCAATTCAGCTGAATATGTTAGATAAAATGAATCCAGGATATATATATCATAAAGGATTTATACAAAGAATTAATTAGCAATGTTAATGAGATTAATCGCGAAATCACTTCGCTAACAAGACTTCATGAGACATTAACTTACTATCAATTCCTTCAATAATACGATCCTTATATTTCAGTTGTATATTTGAGTTTTTGCCAAATGGAGTTGATGAGCCTAGTACTTTCAACAATTTCAATATGTCATCTGCAGAGTGCAATTTTTTTCCATATACAGGAGAAACAACAGCTATAAGAAGTAACGGATTTTTAATCCGACAGATTGTTATCACTTCAAATGTTATTTTTAGCGAATATTTAAGTAGACGCTCCGTTTATTTATTAAACACTATATTAAAATTATTTTCGTCTATCGGTAGGAATATTCGAGAAATCTTATAAAAGAAAAATATGTTCTCTCCTGCGGGTTTCGAACCTGTATTCCCCTCGGCAGAGGAAAACCGTCGTTAGATCCCATGCTGCTTGACCGAATCGTCCACGAAGAAGTTTTGCCAATCAAGCAAAAGGTCTGAACAGTGCCTTTAAGTGAAATCCTTCTCATCATAGATTCCTTGATATTATCATATCTACTCAGTTTCGTAATTAGAAAATTGCTTTGTTTTCGTTTGGATACGAAACTGAGTCGAAAACTTAGTAAAGAAAAGGTGCCAAAACCCACCGACAGGATTCGAACCTGAGTCGAAAAGTTAACAAAGAAAACGAGCCACCCACCCACCGGCAGGATTCGAACTTGAGTATCCTTTCGTGGGAGGAACTACTGTCTGATCCGGCGAACCCTGGGTTAAAGAGAGTGTGACAGCCAAGCCAGGTTCTATCTGTGTTAAAACATATATATATATTGTGATTTTCAACAACTCATAGATAAATTGGAAAATACAATAAAAAAAATTAAGTGTGGGGAATAGTGTTGAATTTAACCTTTAAATGGATTGTTGATGCAAAAATACACATACATACACACACAATATATATATATATATATATATATATATATATATATATATATATATATATATATACCAACATACATTCTCTGGATTTCATCTTCAAAGTCCATTCAAGAACCATAAAGAGAACATTGAATAAGTTTTTAAAAAATAGGGAACAGTAAAGAGGAAAACTGGATCAAGAGGTCACAACAGGAAGAGGAATCATCATTTCAATTTAGAATTAAAGAGATCAATTAGAAAAGATCCAACTCAATCCATAAGACGTTTGTCACTATGATTGTCCAAAGAGCAGTGAAAAAAAAGACTTGAAAATGAAATTGTATGTGAAACTTGTGAGGCAACTTGTGACTCCAAGACAGAAAATTAGAAGGTTACAGAGGGCGAACATTAACTGGAATAAGTTGGAAAATGATCCTGGAATAATATATATATATATATATATATATATATATATATATATATATATATATTATTATTATTATTTTATTATTATTATTAATTACACGTATTTTCTTGGTATTTTACGAGTAATAATAATCATTAAATTTATAATAATAATAAATGTCATTATTCATTTTGACAAATTTTATTGTTTTAAATCTTATAATTATTTTGTGCTCGGCTCGAAAACTAAAAAAGAACCACATTATCCGTTAATGAAAGGTCAAATCAGAGCAGATGTTGAAAATATTTGGTAACTGATCAATACTTCATAGGCAACACATTGCTTGAAAATTTGGAGTAATAGCATGAAACTGGTGTTGTCTGATTGAAACTTATATTTTCTATTTAATTTTTTCAAAATAATTATATTTTTATTACACATACTTGTTTCCTCCTCCCATTTATTTCCAAATACCTAGCGGCGGCAAACCAGCATGCATCTATTTATTTATTTACGCACAATTTATATGGCACAATTTTCAAGCCATATAGATTACGTAGCCTCTTCGCTTATCAAATAGTTGCCAAGCATCCGAACCATTTGTTCATAAAAAAGGTTCTAATGTAGTGTAGCGAATTTTATAAATATATGTTGTGTTATGTATATTTAAATTTATTTAACAATGTTGTTATAATGTATTATGAATATTTATCATTTTTAATAGTTGGAATATAATATACACGTGTTTGCTTATATATGCGGGTTGATATAAGAATGTTTATGAAAAAACAAATACTGAATTTCCTATTAAAAATGCTGTAAAAAAAACCGCTCTAGCTCAAGAACCTTGTCTAATTTTAATGAAATCTGCCAGTTGGCAGGGTTTCAAGATACAATATGCTCCTAAATTGGTTGGGGTGTTGTGTATCATTTTTAGTTGTTTCTCAGGAATAAACATACATACATATATACAAGATTAGAGTTTTAGTATTACATATATATATAGATTAATATCTAGTAATTCTTCTACGATCAGTTTATTGTCTAATAACAGTAGAAAATCGATCCCCTATTTTATGTCCAGTAGAATTACATATTTATATGAGTTTACCGATGACGCCAAAAATGATCATTTCTTTTGAAGCTTTTCATATCATTAGGTTTTCACATATATTTTGTTTCGACTTATTATAATGTAACCGATTCTTCGGGGATTATGTAGAAACAGAAATCGGACTATACACTTTACGTCATGTAAAAATTTATATTTACTACTAATTTACACATGCCATAAAAATGGTGGCATATTTTGTTAAGTCAAGATTATTATTAAAAAGGATTTCACATTAGGATCTTTAAACATTTTCTTAATTAATATAAATATTTAGCAATTCTTAGGGGTCAGTTTAGTATATATAATAAAACAATAGCCGATCTCCCTCTATAGGTCCGGCAAAATCATACATTAATACTGGCGTATTTTCTTGAATTCTTCCAGTCAGTTTGAGTCGTGAATAATTTCCGTTTTAGGAATCAATTATAATGTTTAACCCTCACTACTAATCGTTCGTGGCAGTTAATAAATTTGAAGTGCACGTTTATACCTTAGTTTTTTCACGGCAGTGGCAGCGTACACGGTGGATAAAAGGAATGATGATGTTCTCCTTCATGAGAACGCAAGATCGGGTACATGAAGAATAACACAGGAACAATTTTGAAACCCGTTTAGTCTGCTCTACTCGACTCGCCATATTAAACTGACTTTGCACCAACCGATTATTACCTTTTTCAAACTCCGCAAATGGATGGGAAAAACGTTCCCAAATGGAAGCTGATGTCTGTCAAAAACTTATTTCACATCAAAACCTGCTAAATTTTAATTAAAATGTACCGGATAAGTTCCTGTTAAGTGCTAACAATGCTTGGCAAATAATGATGACTATACAGGGTGTTCTCCAAAAATATACTCACTTTTTGGCTTCATCATCAGTTTGAATATGTATAAACATGTATTTAATTTCATTTGTTATTTAATTTAAGTCGTAAATTTTCTTTGTAAATCAATAAAAATTAGTATTTCTCAATTTTAACCATTTATCTTTTTGGTATTTATTTTCATTTGAAAAGAAAATTTATTTTTGGAACACTGTATGATCGAATAAAATGTAAAATATAATTTCATTTATCTTCATTTTTTGAACTTGACAAAGAAAAACGGAAATTATTTATAACTTAGCCTAATATTATTCGAAGATTTTTGTTTGATTTTATTTTTTAATCCATTCAACCCAACTTGAGTAATAAAGCCACTAAGACGCTAGGTGGCTACTGGGAGTGGAAGAGAATGAGAAGACTTTAGAAGGATCTGGAAACATGAAACATGTAAACATGAAAAAAAGGGATAAAATTCTACTCCTGTCAAAACAAACTTGGGAGGAGTGTGAACCGGATACATGTGAGTCATTAAATCAATTTTTTTTTTCTAATTGAACCTCTAACCTCTGTACTTTCAAGAAGATGTTCTTTTTATCTGTCGGATTCGTAAACATCTTCGAGCAGTTCAACACTTCAACTCGACGTCGCTAATGCTTGGGAGATAAACTTGGTACATCAAATATTCACAGCAAAAAGAAGTAGGAATAAGTGAGTGACCTACTGATGGAATTTGTGAGAATGGATGGCAGAAGGGGGAAAAAGGTGTGATAATGGGTCAAAAGTTAAAAAAAAAAAACTTAAACCATCAAAAGACAGGAAGTTGTGGAGAGCTATGACTTACTACGTACTGACATATACAAAAAGATGTTATAATGTTGGTCTTAATGAACTCTTTCTCATTCTCACTTCTCCCTCTTTCTCTCTCTTTCTCTCTCCCTCTGTCACGCTCACTCTTTCTCTCTCATCCTCTCTCTTTCTTTCTCTCTCTTACCATCTCTTTCTCATACTCTCTTTCTCTCTCACTGTCCCTCTCTCTTTTTTTTCTCTCTCTCGCCATGTCTCTTTCTCTCTCACCTTCTCACCCCCCCCTCTCTCTCTCTCTCTCTCTCTCTCTCTCTCTCTCTCTGTGCTTTAAGAATCAGCATCCGATGGTCTACTGGGGTAGATCTCAATGCAGAACCCACTAAGCTATTCTGGCCGATGCTGACAATTGCTTTGTTGTTGAATAGTTTCCCCCAAGTAAACACTTAGTAAGGCAAGTAGCGAAAAATTCCAGTTCGGAACAGGAAAGAAGTAAAGAGAGAGGAAAGTTAAGAAACCTGATGTTTGTCTATTTTTAACCCGATGCGTATGGCCGGCCATATTCGAAGATGTCTGTTTGAATTCAGAAATGGGAAAGCGAATCATTGTGCCTAGGAAGAGAGGGAAAGTACAGGGGATTGGCGGGTTGGAACGGATTAAATAGACGCATTAAAGGGGAGGCGGCGGATGAAGGAAGCAGGTGGAGGAAAGCATGAGAGAAGAAGAAGAAGATAGTAGTAGTAGTAGTAGTAGTAAAAGAGATATGGGGAAAAGGTAAGAAGGAGGGTGGAGAAAAATATTGATAGAATAAAAAGAAGAAGAAGATAGTAGTAGTAGTAGTAGTAGTAGTAGTAGTAGTAGTAGTAGTAAAAGAGATATGGGGAAAAGGTAAGGAGGAGGGTGGAAAAGAATATAGATAGAATAAAAAGGAAACGAAGAAGAAGAAGAAGATGATGATGATGATGATGATGATGATGATGATGATGATGATTAATCCTGGGGAAATGAAAAAGATAGAAATAAAAACAGCAACAACAATAGAAGGAAATGAAGAAGGCAGTAATAAAAGAGCGAGAAAAAGGAAAGAAGAGAGATGAAGAAATGAGGAAAATAACATGGGAAAGAAATGGGAAAGGACGAAGACAAAGGAGAAGAGAAGACAAAACCTCTCAAAGGGTGAATGAACATTTTTGTAAGGTCAACGCCCATCTAGAATAATTGGATACAAGGGGCTCCATAGCTATGGATGCAGTCAGTGCGTTGGTGACAGGGCATCGCCTAGACTGATGTCAATGGCCACACTGTAGAGTTCCTTCGGTGGAAATCAACTGCGAGCTTCAAGTTCAATGACATCGGCTATAATTTGACGCAGAGAGGGATGGGGTCAGCCTAGTTTACTCGCTCAAGACACACTACACATGAATGAATACCTCTACGTCTTTCAACCCAGAGAGTGTTTTCTTGTCAGTTCTCATAAACAAAAAGAAAATGTATAAATTTACTTTCATATGTTCAGGTTTTATCCCAATTCTAATCATCGCTTTTTAAAACAATAAACATTGCCGAGGAGTGAAGGTAGTTAAAATAATAGTGGTGTTAAGGTAAAAACCATACTTTTGACAATTTTTTTTTTTTTTTTTTGGATACAAAGGTCCAACATCGCCACAGGTCGATTATTCATTTTCATTCTTTATTCCAATCAACTCTGTTATTAAATATTCAAAGTATCTCCTCCCACGCATTTAGTCTGCAAAGATTCTATAAAAATAATCCGTTTCATTATTGAAAATTCCAAAAGATCAGAAAAAATATAAAAGCATTCTCCATTTACTCCTTTTTATTCCAACCATATTGTCTATTTAAAACTCAAGTGTAAGGAAGACGACATTCATTGATTGATTCGTTTTTACGTCTTATCAACCCTTTGCAGGTTAATAAAAGCCAGAAAATATTTTCTAATTTTTTTAGCTAATAATGATTTAGTGATACAAGTCTTACTAATTAACGAAGAATTGGGAGTTGAAATGGTGGATTCATGCCTTTTCCGAGGGTATTCGGGCGTAAGTGAATAAAACGAATACAAACGGAATTGGAACTCGGTTCTCCGATTAACAATTCAGAGCCATTATCTATTACACCACCGCACCTCCAAGCTTACAGCACCTGGTATTCACAAGTGGTCACCCATCTAGGTACTGGCCATGCTCGACGTTGGTTAACATATGATACGGTCGTAAGTCAAGGAAGAAGGCAAAAAAAACAGATAATTTTTTAAAAAAAGAAAAAAAATTAAAGAAAATAGAAAAGGAAGAAAGGCAAAAGAAAACTACAAAAGAAAGAAAGAAAGAAAGAAAGAAAGAGCAAACAAACAAGAGGAAAGAAAGTGATGTATAAGAAAGAAGAAAGAAAAAGGAGAAAGAAAAAAGAAAATTAAGTTTCAAATAGACGGTTGGTTTGATTATTCTTTTTTTTTTCTTAAAGAAAAATCTACTCAGTATATTATTTAAGCTATATATATATATATATATATATATATATATATATATATATATATATATATATATTCCTTAAAGAAAAGTCTACTCAGTATATTATTTGTTCCAGTCATTCCTTCTTCTTTCATGTCAAGTATTCCTTCAAAATGTAGGCAATGACGGGCCTCCACATCTTCCTGTTTCTTGTAGCGCGTAATATGTTTTGCCTTTTTGACATTTCTCCCAAACTCTTATCCATCCATTTATTCAATCCTACAAAGTCACGTGATGCTTTCCTCCGTCTCTCTTTCCTCTGTCCTGTGAGTATCAGTTTTCCAAGCCCTCTTTCCTTATTAAGTGTCCCAGAAATTTCAACTGCCTATTAAGTATAAGTTTCCATTTTCTTTGCATTCTCTTCAAAACCTCATTGTTGGTCACATGTTTGGTACATGGTATCCTCAGCTTCCTTCTGTAGAACCACATTTCTGTTACTTCAAGTTTCTTTTTCATCTCTGAGGAGGTTTTCCAGCATTCGCTGCCATACAGGAGGACAGATATCACGTAGCAGTTCAGTACACTTTTTTTTGTTTCTAACGAAAACTTTTCTGT